TGAAATACTTTATGAGAGTTACAGTTCAAGTCGGCTGCTGTCCTAGCCTTTACACAACACCGGTTTCAACTAAACACCCGAAAACTCTTTATGTATTTTAGCTGTTCATTTACACATTTACACAGTGCCGGTCCTAGACTTCTGGGGGCCCTAAGCAAAACTGTGGTTGTGTTAAATGGGGGGGGGGGGGTTGAGTGGGTTATGAACGAATGAATGAAATGCATTTTTCACTCTGTCTCGAATCACGCTCGCGGAAAGTGCTTGAGAAACAGCGTCTCTTCTGCGGCTCGGTAAGCTTTCAACTAGTTTTTTTAGTCTTGAGCAAGACTGTACGACATTCACATTACATGATTTGACTGCTTTTTACGTAGAAAGGGCGCCAGCGCACCGCATTAAAATAAATTATAATTCATGTATTCATAACTGCTGACCAAATTCAAAAACCATACTAAAATTAAATAATCTTTGAGAGCAAAGGGGGCCCCTGGTGTTTCGGGGACCCTACACAGCTTGCGTATTTTGCGTATAGGGAGGATCGGCTCTGCATTTACACAAAACAGTGTTTTGGAGGCCTGAAAAATGGGTTTCAAAGTGCAAGTTTTTGAAAATTATACCATCTCTGATGTCATTTTTATGTAAACTACAAAAATGGTGAACAAGGACCATTTTGACAACATTATCATCTGTACATGAGACTTTTCAAAAATTCAAAGTAAAACCTTTCCGTTTTTAGTACATCGTTGTTGTGTAAACGTACCCTGAATCATCTCTTTCTAGCAATATTTATATGAGCTTGTTACAATACTAACATTATAATAATAATCACATAAGTCAATTAATCTTATAACAATGGATTCTGTTGAATAGGATGCATAATTATTCACTCATTTTCTTATTCCTGAAATCTACAACAGCAAGAAAGGCTCATAGCTGATTGGTCTGTGCTAGTGAACGTTCTGGGATGATGTGCAGCTTCAGGCTGCTGCAACACATCACTGGTCCTGTCCAGTGTTGCACAAAGCTGAAGATATGGCTAACCTGTGCACCATTTTCAGATACTCCAGTTCCTTTTAAAGTGGTCCTGTTTGTGACTTCTCTTATAAGTCATCTCCGTTTTTACACAAAAAGCTTTGAGGCATGACTTTTTTGAAGCAGTGTTGGTTGTAACTTCCTCTTCCTGATAATTGAACCAGCAGTGTTCACTGAGGCATCCAAACACTTTCTGTTCTCAGATCTGCTGCCAATTCTTTTTTCAGCAAACGCAAAATCACATATCATCTGTGGTTTTACTCATTACTAAAACATAATGGGGCTGTGTTTGTTGGATTTAATTATTTTTGTCAATCCATGGGCATATAGAAAATATTCAACATATGCATTTCACAGCATATAGTTCTCCATCATAATTTAGCCCATAACAATAGGTTATGTTCGTACAGTGGTCCTTTTTTATTTTCGTGAAATTCATGTTACAGGCAACCAGTAAGTCAGAAAAAATTTGTTCGATCAGCCCTGTGCCATTCTTTTTTTTTTCTTAAGATTTATTTTTGGCATTTTTGCCTTAAGTGAAAGACCTCGAGATGCAAAAACCAAAATTGACCAAAATCTTTTTTTTTGGTTATTAAGACTTTTTTGTAGTGTCCAATATGTAGTGTCAATGTTTGCATCAACAGTGTCTTGAAATGATCATTTGTGTTGCAGTGCTGAGAAATAAATTCAAAACAAAGTAAATTTGTGATTTGTAATGTACTAGGATATGTAAAGCTGAGTAAAATGTTGGCTCAGAGTTGACAAAATTTGTAAAACAATAATAATGTGAAATATTTTATTTTAGAATAACTGTTTTGTATTTGACTATATTTTAAAATGTAATTTATTCCTATGATGGAAAAGCAAAATTTTTACAGAAATTATTCTCCAGTTGTGCTTTCATATTTTTGTGAAACTGTGAGACATTTTTTTTCAGGATTCCTAGAAAAATAGAAAGTTAGCAGCATTTTAGTTTTTAAATAGAAATCATCTGTAACATTATAAATGTCTTTATGCTTTATCAATGTAATGCATCCTTGTTGAATAAAAGTATAATTTATATCATTTAAATATAAATAACCTTTAATGTCTTTTATTTTTTTTTAGAATGTCATCCCCTAGTTCCATTCCTGATTCCATAAAACTGTCTGTCTTCTCACATTATGAGTGGAAGAGGCAGCTTGTATCTGTTAAATGTGTTTGTGTTGTGTTGTGCTGTGAGTGATTCAGATGAGTGACTACAGCAAGATCCTTGAGGTGAGAGACAACATTTAATTAGCATCAACAAACATCTCACCACAGTCACGTTCATCTGTTTTCTGAATATTTCCATATTCTCCTGATGGAATCTGTATCAAATTGGTGCATTTGGCATGAAGGCAGTTTCTTTTAATCCTAATTGAATGTAAGTCTGAATGAGGTCTGTAAGAAATCATTTTAGAGAATGAAGCAGCGCAGAGACTGCTGGTTAATATGCGTGAAATGTCAAGGCTAATATGAGTGTGGTAATCATCAATCCTTCTGCTACAGTTTATGGAAATCTTTAACTGCAGGCGGGAGGTGAGTATTCTGATTATGGCCCATTTTTATTCTTAATTGCTGTGAACACATTATGATAAATGTGTGGTGGACTATATCAGGCAGATGGATGGCTGGTGGGTTGTTGGTCGTGTTTGCTGGAGCCTGAGTCAGAAGCAGTCGTCCACCCCTTCAGACCCAGACTGCAGCTCACTACCGGCTGCTTTGCCTATACCACAGCCAAAAACCCTCCATCCGCCACGGATGTAGAGTATTTGCATCCTCATTCACCCTCATTGTGACAGGATTCAATCGTGTTGTACAGTCCCAGCGTACTGTAATAGTTTGCTGCATCCTTTGCAGCCAAACACTCAGAATAGGAAGTTGCTCGACGGAAACTGCGTTCAGCTAATTTTGTAGTACTACGTTTGCACTTACGTTCTTGGCATACTTCCTTTAGTGAACTGGATACTAAAACAACACAGAGAGAGCAAATAAATGACGCTATCACTGGGCCTGGTTCATTCTTCCTGAATAATCCCTGAGGGTTGGACATGCTGAGAGTCTTGCAACCCTATTTTCAGTCTTATTTTCTCTGCTTTGATAAAGCGCTTTGTGATAAATATAATCCTTCACCCAGTCTCCAATTCTTTATGTATGGCAAAGTGACCAACAGCAGTTTATTTTACACTCTCAGAAAAAAAGGTACGATAGCTGTCACTGGGGCAGTACCTTTTCAAAAGGTACACCTTTGTACAGATGTGGCCATTAAGAATACAGACCTGGCCCGAGACGCTCAGGCCCTATAGCCCGGTTCTTGTCTGACAGCTTATCCGAATTCTCGGCCCGAGTCCGACTGGAGCCCGTGTCTTTTTTCTCTCTCTCGCTTCCTAATTACACAGCTGCTGTTGCAGCCATTAAAATAGTTCAGTTTTGTTTTCAGTTGCAAAGTGGTTACGTTTCTTTTCGTTTCTTTATTAAGTGAATTTAGACAAATGTTTGGAACATTTTTTGCTTGTTAAATTCAAGTTTTTGTTTTTTAAAGTGGCAACCAAGCGGATAGCGGCAGACAGTGAGTTGATCACGTTTGATCAGTTTAGCCTTCTCAAATCAACATGACTTGCCTAAAATAAAATCTATAGATATAAAATAGATATAGAAGATATATTACAATGTTAGTTTAAACGTTTACAAAAGCGCACTTTGCAGGAAATGAAGTCGGGCCCCCCCCCACTTCAGAATGCCACCATGCGTTTCACTCATAACCGAAAGATGCTGTGACAAACAGTGCACAGTTCTGGGGATATATTTATCATCCAAATTAATTATTTTCACTATCTTTAGTAATAAAATTGTATGCATTTATTTTTTGCAAGCCAGCAGGTTAATGACATCGCCTAATAGCGTCTGTGTGTTGCTTTGCATTAAATCAAATTATTTAAAGCATAGAAATTATTTTATAGATGAAATAAAAATACACAAACCTGAATTTCACAGAAGAAATGCACCAATTCTGCGGCACTGAGAAGACAGTTGCTCTCTGGCTGTGACTCAAAAACCTGCGCTCAGGATATTTACAAAGCCACTTCATTTTTTAGAGTGAACTTTATTTTTTAAATAAAATAAAATAAATGATTTTTGACCATTATATATGCATTAATAAACAATTACAGTCTGCTCTAAGCAAATAAGTGGCATGACAAAAGTGTGCAATTAAGTTTACAGTTCATTTTTTCATTTTTCCTTGAGTTCATGCAAAATGATCAGAACTAAATTACCAGGTTATTAACTGGTTTCCAGCTTTTAAAATGAATGATTTCATACAGAAACAAATAAACCCTATAACAAAACTACTTATTAAATATATATATATTGGTCAGTGTTTCTGTGAAAAGACTAGCCTAATAAAGAGGTCCAAGATTAAAACTTGCTAAATGTTTTCATCTGCTTCATTTTCGGACTTTGCCAGCAAGACAGGATATTTGCACTTAATGTACATTTAATTGCATTGCTTTTAGATTATGGTTTAGTTTGTCTGTCTTGCACAACCACTGTCTTATTTTTTTAATATTCTATGGAGGAGAAGTTAATCATATGTACACTTTAGGTACAGCATATGAAGTGTTTGGCTGAAGTTGTGTGTTATTGGGAATCTTTCTTAGCATCCTGTTTGTGAAACATTTCCTTTAAGTCATGAATTATCTATTCATAAACATAAGACAATTTTCTGGCTTTCTGATTGTTCTGCCATTGTGTTCAATTATAAATGTTCTCATATGAAACCGCATAAATAATGCAGAGACATACATAGTGGTTTGAGATCAAGCACAAGTCTCATTCTTTGGTTGTCTCAGGTAAACAGCCTCGGGGTCCGCTGGTTCTTCGGTCTCCAGACAGATGGTGACGCGAATGTTGACTCATCCTTTCTGTCCCCTTCTCTCTCTTGCTTTTAGATTCCTAACTTTTAGACTGAAACAGAGCCTGGATTACTGGAAAATCTTTACTGGCAACATAAAGTGGGAGTGTAAGAGTTACTTACATTGGTCACTGAAGTAACTGGAGCCAAGATGGCAGGAAGGGAGCGCAGTCCACGCCACAGGCCATGGTCTGTGTACCGAGCCAACACATTTGATTTGTCCTCTGAGATGATGGGGTTGGCGCTAACAGGTATTATTATTATTATTATTATTATTATTATTAGCTTGATTGTGTGGGGGTTTGCCTACACAAATAACTTTTGGCTGTAGGCCTACAAGAAGTTTATACTTTTGTGATATATATATATATATATATGTATATATATATTCAGTATATATATATTCCTGACATGTGAGATATGTACGGTGGCCGAGAGAGCTCAACGCGCTGCAACTTCAGAAAACACATGCAAATAGAAAAAGTACCAGCAAATTAAGAAAACATCTTCATCAGTTTGACAGCACATGTGCTGCAAATGCTCACAACACAATCAAATACAAAAACACGCTGCAAATGCTCACAACACAAACAAAAAAATAACACACTGCAAATGCTCACAACACAACCAAATACAGAAACGCAAGTACAGACCACAATGGGAGGACACCAACAAAACGAAAATTAACCATGTTTTTTATTTTTTATTATTGATTACCATTTGTATTACCACAGTTGCACAAATACCATGGTTAAACTATGGTTAGTGTAGTAAATCTTGCTGCTGGAAAAGGTGTTAGTGAAGCCAGCAGGGGGTGCTCACCCTGCAGTCTGTGTGGGTTCTAATGCCCCAGTATAGTGACGGGGACACTATTCTGTAAAAAGCACCATCCTTCAGATGAGACGTTAAACCGAGGTCCTGACTCTTTGTGGCCTTTAAAAATCCCAGAATGTCCTTTGAAAAAGATTAGGGCTATAACCCCGGCATTCTGGCCAGATTTGCCCATTGGCCTCTGACCATCATGGCCTCCTAATCATCCCCATACACTGATTGGCTTCATCACTCTGTCTCCTCTCCACCAGTAAGCTGGTGTGTGGTGGGCGTTCTGGCGCACTATGGCTGCCGCCGTCGCATCATCCAGGTGGATGCTGCACACTGGTGGTGGTTGAGGAGATTCCCCCGCTTTCATGTAAAGCGATTTGAGTACCCAGAAAAGCGCTATATACTGTAAATGTAACTAATTATTATTATTTGCAGCACGTTTCTGTTTTTGCAGCGTGTTTCTTTATTTGGTTGCGCTGTGAGCATTTGCAGCGCGTGTGTGGTCAAATGTATGAAGATGTTTTCTTAATTAGCATGTGTTTTTTCTATTTACATGTGTTTTTTTCATTTGCAGCGTGTTGAGCTCTCTCGGCCACCGTAGATATGTTTTTTCTGTGGTAATAATTAGAATGCCACAGGTGCTCTGAATAGACCTTAAAGGTATAGTTCGTCCAAAAATTCATTCACAAATTTAAATAGAGTTTAAAAGGCATTGTCAGTTGAATTCTGAAAGGGTTTAATTCCATCTTAATTTATTCACCCTCGTATTGTTCCAAGCGTGTATGTACTTTTTTCTTCTGAGCAACACAAAAGAAGATATTTTGAATGTTGGTAACCAAGCAGTCATACAGGTTTGGAATGACATGAGGGTGTGTAAATGATGACAGAATTGATCTGTTCACATTTTAATTGAGAATTTATTTTGAATTCTATTTAAATTTGTGATTCAAGTTCGAAGAAATGTTAGTAGTTTTAATCTGCTGAACTGCTTGAATATTTAATAATAAATTGCATTTTTCTTTACGAGTTACCAATAAACATTATCGTACACATAAAATACCCAAATTATCAGTAGATTTACATTTTTCTAATGTCAATATTTATTTTTACATTTATCTGAAAACAGTGTGAGGGATATTTTTGATGATGTAGATCTGTTTAGTGGCTGTGATAATAAATATGGACCTTTGAGTTTAAATTCATGTAAAATATAGTGAATAAGAGGCATAATTCATCTAAATCATGTGTTTTAGCACAAAATTTGTGTTAGACTAATAAAATTACTCTGCTGTGTGACTGTTGATTTTCTTAGAATTACAGTTAAGTAAATTCCTTTTCCTGTCATTCAGATTCCACATACTGGGGGATGCGAAGAATGTTGCCCAACCATGATTTTACCCAGAATATTTCTTTAAGACTACATATCTTGCATTAAGATAATCTTAACATTTAATAGTAAAATCATGTAAAGATTATATACTTTGCTAACAAACTAATAAAAAGACTCGGTATTCATGGCAATTCTGTGTGGTGTTTCACATGTGTTTAGGAAACAGTCAGGATCCTGATGAGCCAGTGCTTGAGTTCAGTCTGGGTGAGTATCAGCAGTTCAGTCAATCATAAAGTGATCAAGGTGCAGCGATACCGAAGTGAATTTCCTGTCTATTATACAACGCCACCAATGCTGCTATCCACTCATTCAGGAGATGCATGTACATCTGTAACCACTGAAGAGTTTTCACCTCATATTCTTCCTCCTTTTTTGGTTACCGCCACTAACAATATCCGGCCTACTGTATTTGTAAAGGAAACACTTTCTCAGCCATACCCTCTTAGCTCACATGTAATAAACATTTATACAGCCTATCTCTGGGCTGTTAAATCAAATATTTCCAATGTGTTAGGTGCACTGGGTTTTGTCTGACTCACTGACAGTTTCATTACTTTTTTCCATGACGAAACGTCATGTTGATGGCAGTTAGCCACCTAGGGTTATATGACATTTGTTTCTATGGCATATTTCACTTTTAATCGTAAGACACATTTCAGATGGTTGCTTACAAAGACTGGATTGTAATGCTACTATGAGTGTGATTACAGCTAAATCACTTTTCTCCTTTCATGATTAATATACTGACTTGTTGTCCTTCTTTTCCCAGCATGCAGTGAGCTTGTCACTCCATCACTAGACCGTAAGCCCAGTAGCTTTGTAGCAGTGAGCTGCACCACCCCTCCACAGGCGTTTTGGACCAAACATGCACAGACTGAAATTATAGAGGTGAGGATGAAAACAAAAAGTATCATGATATACAAGGTTTTTTTGACCATGTTGATGTATCCTTTGAATATTCTGAGGTGAGATGAAAATACCATGCAATATGAACATGGTGTTCAATCATATCAGTCAGTAGCGTGGTATGGCCATCTGATTCCATCATTGTACGTAAGGGTCACAGCCATTATTTGGATTTTTTTTTTGCTGGTCTCCCTTGTGAAAACGTACACCTGAGCATACTTTAAAAAAAGAGTACTTGTTATGAATCTGGTATGTTTAAAAGAATATAATTAAATGCAAACTGAATGGACATTTAATTGCATGTTACTTGCAGTTAAATGTAATTGTGTTAGCTTATATTAAATGCAATTATTTGAACTTTAGAGTGCTTCTTTGACCCATTTAAGAAGGATTTCCTAATTACTTTTATTGTCTTTAAAATATAGTTAAAGTGTATTGCCAAATATACTGTCAATCATTTATGGTAATAAAAAATATACTTTAATTCCATTTTGATTGAAATGTGTATGCCATGTATTTTATAAATTAAGTATATTTGAAATTACACATTTGCAATGATGAAGTTGCAATTTTGTACATTTAAATATATATTAACTTAAATGTTAATAACTTAAATAGCTTGAACGCTGCTGCCAGGATTCTGACTAGAACCAGAAAATCTCAGCCTATCACACCAATCCTCAGGTCCTTACACTGGTTTCCAGTTGCATTAAGTATTATTACTTGTTTATTAACCACTAAATGGCCTAGGACCTCAATACATTGCAGAAATGCTCACTGAATATAAACCTAACAGACCACTCAGATCATCAGTTAGAAATACCCAGGGTTCACTCAAAACAAGGGGAGTCCACTTTTAGCTATTATGCCACCTGCAGTTGGGACCAGCTTCCAGAAGAGCTCAGATGTGCTCCAACAGTAGCTACATTCAAATCCAGATTCAAACCAAATCTGTTCAGCTGGGCATTTGCTGAATGAGCAGTGTGCTACGTCCACACTGATAGCATTGTATTTTGTGTATCATCATCTTTTATTCTTATCTGTTTTAATTCATTCTAAATTAATTTTTAAATCATTTTAAAATTGTAATTCCTTGCTTTCATTGTTGTGATTATTTTAATTCCTTTTATGTAAAGCACTTTGAATTACCATTGTGTATGAAATGTGCTCTATAAATAAACTTGCCTTGCCTTAAATATTTTAATACTTAAATTTATTACTGCATAACACATAATCAACTTGTGCTTCAGTATGTTAGTCAACACATCAAAATAAGTGTACTTCTATAAAGCACGACAAATGGTTATTAAAACAATGATTGTGCTTTAAAATAAAATGTAATTTGACATTTACAAAATGTAGTTTTTAAAAGTGTACTTAAGTGTGTTAAGAAACATAGTCATGAAAGTGTGCTCACTTTAGGGGGCCTTTTATTTAATTAAAATTACATTATCTACTGTTACACTCCGTCTAGGGAAAAGGATGCAAAATGACAGACATTCATAGGCAGCAAAACAATAATGTGTTTATTGTTTAAAATTGGGAATCTAAGTTTGGGAATAGACCAGGCCAAAATAACAAACAAAACCTTGATTTTAATTCTCTTTCTTAAACCGGATTGAATAGGAAAGGAAAGCAAAGCAAAGCAAACTAACTGCCTAGCCCAAAACGGAGATCAAAAATTTCACAATAAACAAAAATGGCATTCGATTCCTTATTTTCCCAATCCTCAATATTTACAAACAAAACTATTTACAATGCCAAGTGAACACAATGAGAGGGCAATCCAAGCCAGGCCAAAATAACAAACAAAACCTTGATTTTAATTCTCTTTCTTAAACCGGATTGAATAGGAAAGGAAAGCGAAGCAAAGCAAAGCAAAGCAAACTAACTGCCTTGCCCAAAACGGAGATCAAAAATTTCACAATAAACAAAAATGGCATTCGATTCCTTACTTTCCCAATCCTCAATATTTACAAACAAAACTATTTACAATGCCAAGTGAACACAATGAGAGGGCAATCCAAAATCTGTGTCAGAAAACAGGCAAAAGGTCCAATACCCCAACACAAATACAAACGATTGCCAACTCAAACAAACGGTCATTACTCACAGTCTCTAATTGTTACGGAGAGAACAGAGGAAGTGTGCGGATCCATATGCAATGCTTTATTTAACAGACGTGGTCAAAAACAGGCAAGGGTCGGCAACAATAGCAGATATAGCACAGGCAAGATGAGAGAGTAATCCAGAGACAGGCGTGGGTCAAATGACGGCGAACGTAATCCAGAGGGTGAGGCAAATGGGGAATCCACAAACAAGCAATAGTCCAGGCAAGGTGCAAACATAGTCCGAAACGGCAAGACAAAGGGGAAAATCCATGACTGACGAAAGATCAGGAAACAGGCGATCAGGTTATAACAACACTAGACTGAGAACTAGGACTGAGAACTGGCTCCGTGATGTAGCTATCGCTAACACAGTGATGCGCTAAACAATACTCGGCATTGAGAGAGAGGAAGTCCATGGCTTATGTAGGGTGTGTGATTGGCAGCAGCTGTGTGTGTAATCAGTGCAATGGATGCTGGGATATGTAGTCCGGGATGACATGCAACAGTTTATGTAGTGTGAGAGTCAATGTAACGGAAGGGTGATCTCTGGTGCCAATCGGACGGAAGTCCATGGACAGGATTCGTGACACTAATACTTTCTCTTTAATACATGATGTGCTTTTTAAGGTACTATGCACCAATCAGGACATAGTATCAGTCAGCCTGCAGGAACCTGGACAGACACACACAGAAACACTCAAAACAACAGAGATGGAACAAACACATAGGGTCGTAGTTATAAACAGGGTTGTAAACATCTACAAATACAATGTGAAGTACACTACAAGTGCACAATTAATACAATTAAGTACACTTATTTTTCCCAAGGGGAAACAATAATGATATAAACCACGATATTGCCATGGTTCTTTGGGTATGTAACATTCCTTTGAATTTTCTGGTGTATTATGTAAATGCCATGGAACTGTTAAACTGGCCCTAAAACCTGTTAAATATCAGATTTTGCATATTAATGTGAATTGAATGCAGGCATTTCCTTTTCTTTTTTCTAGGGCACTAGTAATCCAATCTTCTTGAGCAGCATTGCCTTTTTCCAGGAATCTCTGATTACCCAGCAGACTCAAGTCAAACTGTCTGTCTACGATGTGAAGGACCGCTCACAGGGGACTGTAAGACAGAAACCGTTATTCTTAACATTCTGTACCTGTTTTGCTCAGCCTCATAAACTCTCTGTTTTATTAGATGTACCTGCTCGGTTCGGCTATGTTTACAGTGAAAGAGCTGCTTCAAGACAAACACCACAGACTACACCTCACTCTGCGGTATGTGAGATAAATATAGGCACAAAGCTGATGCGTAATCCCACAGCATATAATTTATTAGGAATTCCAGGAAATGTAGTCTGACACCTATTTGTGGGCATTTCACTGGCTCAGATCAGCAGAGAGTGAGCGGATGGGTAACATTACCATCATCGCATGGCAGATAGAGGAGAGGAGAGACCAGCGAGCTCCTCTGGCACGTTCAGACACAGTTAATGGCAGGGTGAGTGCTTACGTACGCTGTTCTTCACACTATGCATTAGTGGTCGACTGATGTGAGTTTTGAAGTGGCCACGGTCCAAAACCGATATTTGAATTGCTGATGACTAATATAATTATAAATATACATTGACAAAGCCATTGTTATTTAAATATCATTATAGTACTTTATATAGTATTTTAGTATCATCGTATACAATTATAGTATTGTAGTATATAATAGATGGGTTTTTATTCTTCCCATTTTAATTTTAATTTAATTTTGTTGTGTTTTTATTATTATTTTTTTGCTATATATATGTCTACACTATATAGTTTTTAATAGAGGTCGACCCATGTATCGGTTTTGCCGATTAATCGGCACCGATAGTTGATTGCTGTAACTATCGGTTATCGGCAAAAATCCATGCCGATAGTTTTCCGGGTTGCGTCCATTGCTGGAGCGGCTGAGAAGGGTCTGCTGTCATTACAGTGCGAGAGCAGCCTCTAGTGGTTGAAATCACTGACAGCATGTACTATTTGTTTAGACACGAGATACTGCACGCTGAACAGAGCGGGAAACTTCAGACGCGGATTTAAATGCAGCCGACAGAAAATCCTGCCGCGCCACAGAGCGCCATTCACATAGTTTTCCTTTAAATTACATTATATTGGTCCCGAATCGTTGTTAATGTACATAATGAATTGTGTATTGTGCATTTTCAGCAAAACATTTGTCTTTCTGTGGCTCTAATGAAGTCTGTGTGCTTCATTTATAGAGTTATAATATAGGTTGCGCTTTCTCTTTCCGTTTGC